TTATGGATGCTCTTACTGAAGATTTACAGGAGATTGTACCTTGGTGTATGTTTTTGGTTGATGATATCCTTCTTGTGGATAAGACTATAGAAAGTGTTCAGAATAAACTTGAATTATGGAGGTTTACATTGTAGTCTAAAGACCTTCATATGAGTAGATCTTAAACTAAATACATGAAATGTAATTTTAGCAGTAGTAGCTATAGTGGTAGAGTTGTAATTATGGGTGATCAAATCATTAAAATGTGTGATAGAAAAATACCGCTTGACTTGAAAAAAAATTTCATAAGATGGTGGTGAGACCTCCAATGCTTTATGGCACAAAATGTTGATCTTTATAAGAGAAGTATAAAAAAAATTAAGTGTTGCTCAGATGAGAATGCTTAGGTGGATTAGTGGCATGACAATTAGAGACAAAATGCGAAACGAATCGATCCGTGAAAGGGTTGGTGTAGCTCCAGTGGCAGACAAGATTAGAATGAATCATCTTAGATGATTTGGCCACATTAAATGTAAGTCATCTGATGATCCGATTAGGAGAAGTTTTAGATTCGTCTTATGTTAAGAAAGATAGAGGTAGACCTAAATAGACCTAAAAAGACTTGTAAAAAGACTTGGGCATATTGAAGAAATAATTATCTTAATCTATTAGAATTAAATGAAAATTTGACACTCAATATAACACAATGTAGGACAAGAATTCATGAAGCTGACCCCGCTTAATAAGATAAAGGCTTATTATTGTTGTTGTTGTAATAATTCTGGTTAGGGATATTATTTTTTGGGGGACAGTTCAATCACACTAAACCTGATAAGAAGAAAACAAAATAATTTTTGTATGATCGGTTCAAAATTGATTTATATACTTTTGGTTCAAAGTTGATTTATATACTCTATGTCATATTTTATTATGCTCAAAATTTGTGGCCCAATAAAATCGACAAAATTGACAAGCATTACTTTACACGAATTAAGTCTACTGAATAATGTAGCCAACAAAACTAACACATGTTAACAAGTTTCTTTATAAAATAAATATCCAAAGTGATATATGTAGATCTTAATCTAACCAGTTTAAATAAAAAGACAAATAAAGTTGGGAATCACAAGTTCACGTTGATGAAATAATGTTTATGTATTGACATCATGTATTAGATTCAAATATAAAAAAAATCACGAACAAATGGTTGTACAATCTCATCAATAACAACCCCAATATTATGTACGTGTATTTCGCACACACGAAGCTAGCACCTCAAATCAGTTAAATAAATTTGTTTTAAGAAAAAATGCTTAAGCTTGAGCTGTGCTCTCAACTCTCTCTCTCTCTCTCTCTCTCTCTCCCCCCCTCCCCCTTACCTCTCCCTCTCCCTCTCCCTCTCCCTCTCTCCCCTCTCTCAAGTCTCACCATAACAACATGTCCTTAAAAACAACAGAACATCAAAAGTAGTGCAACACAATTTGGTTGAGCTCAACACAAGAGATATGTAAAATAGCCACAATGAAATTTATTTTTCATGAAACATAATCACAAATTACACTCATACCTTAATCAGATTCAATTGCAGTTGATGGATTGCAGTTGATGGATGATTATTCCAAGCTTTAATGACGGGCAAGATTTAGCATTAATTGTTTTGATTGTTAAAACAACAAGGATCGAGCTATTTATTTCAACATTTTCCTCTAAATCTAGCATAAGACATAGATAATGTGCATTTCATGTACAAATAAGGTGCAAAACGATGCGACACTGATCTAGGACTACTAGAATGTGTTTGGTAAGTGGCTCTGACGTGGAAAAGGTAGAGGAATAGTTAAAGGATGAAATTTTGTTTGATTTGTGATATTTTGAGGGCGATAGACGATGTTTGGTGGTTGTCGCGACTTAAAACAGCAAGGAAAACCATGATACAATGTGTCACGGATGTCGAGGATGATGGTGGTTGAAATTGTGGTGCATAGTGGCGAGATTGAGAGATGGAACTGATAAAAGCAGTTTTCTTGCAATAGTTGACTTCGAGTTGGATGACAAAGGAGGCATCTAAGAGTCCAGGAGAGATCACTATCTTGATCCTATCAGGTCAAAGACACACCGCCTGAAATAATTCTAAGGATAGAGCGCTCCAACAAAGATAACCAGAAGAAAATATCTCTAAATAACCAAATCAAAAGTCTTCTCAAACCAGAAAATAACAACATATAAATAGTTTCTAAAGTTAAACCCTAATTAATAATAAGAAAAATAGGAAATAAACCAAAAGGAAGGACAAAAAAAGATGAAAAAGGAAAGTCCTGGGCGGCTGCCAAGATTGAGAAAATCCTATGTTGGGATTGCGGCAACCTTGCAATGGGATAGCAGATGCCCCTTCTCATGATTTTACGATTGCGCTCCAGCATCATTCTCCCCGACTAGGAAAGACCCGCCATTGCCTTGTTGTGTCTGAGGCAATCACGCTCCAATATCTATGCTCACATCCACCCAAGATAACTCTGAAACGCATACATCATTCCAAATTTTGTCTTAATAGAATAAATAACCAATCTTTTTTTGCACAACCTGAATTGGAACTATACATAGACGGGTATTCCAGTGAACCAAATCTCGAGTTATTAAACTTGTAATATGTTTCTCCCACTTCTCGTACTCGGACGATTTCATCTAATTAACAAGTCAGGCGAAATCAACTGTACGATGAGATCTTTGGTAGGCGGGGCAACTCTCAATGATAACTACTCAAGAGAGGTCTCTTCTTCTTCTCTGGAATGACCTAGATCACACTGTAGAATGTTAATTCTCATAAAACTCCTAAGGCGATTTCCAACGTTGTGATTCATCCCTCCTGTCTGATTATCTATAGGTGGATGCATTGTTGAATTGAATTTAATACTCAAATTACTCCATTTAATCTTACATAGATAGCTCAAAAGCTTCTCATCGCTGATATATTGGACCTTCCTCAGCAATGACAACTCAGGAGATCGATTATATATCTGAAAATCATAAAATTCTCTTATTTGGGATTGTCGTGTGTCTAGTATTGGCTTCTCAAACTAATGACTCTTTTGGACAACCAATACCAGTCTTGCTAATGTTGTTTTTAATGCCTACAAAAGAGTAGTTTGTGACACCACATCCTCAAACTCTGCATGAACATCCATCACCTCAAACTCACTACCTTCCAGAACAACTAATATTAATCTAACTAGAATCTCTTTCAAGGGCTCAGATTGATTCACTGACAACTCTTCTATGTCGACTGAAAATTGAGACTCCTCCCTGAAGGCTTCATTCTCTCCCACGCCACTATCCATTTCTTCAAATATTCACAGCTTGGTGAAAGAGGTCCCGCTCCTATTTGGGCAACAAGACGTCATGTGGCCAAAACTATGACACTTGAAGCTTTACCGACGGGGATGAATTTGGGAGTATAAGCAGTTTCCATCTTCTCTCCACTTCGTGCGGGTTCCTCCTTTGGCTAGATCGGCTTGGGTGGGCATCTCTCCACCTTTAGGGTTAGGGTCTGGGCATCTTGTAATGCCCTATAAAGTTGCAATTGTACCACATTGTTAATAGATGATCTCAATCCCCTCAGGTATCGAGTTATGGTATTCTCATTGAACTCCACTCGCCCACACTTCAACATAAGTTGCTCAAACTCAATTGTGTATTCCTCCACTAAAAGATCTCTCTGGCACAAGTTATGGAGTCTTATAAATATATTTTGTCAGTAATATTATGGGAGAAATTTGTAATGCATCACTCATTTCCTCTTAAACAAGGTAAAAATTTTACCCTTCTCTTCCCGCTGTCAAATATATTTCATGTTCTCCCACCATAATGAAGCTTTTTTTAAGCTTGATGGCAATCGATTTAACTCTCTTGTCCCAAGGAATATCCTTATACTCAAAAGTTTGATCCAGTGTTTGAAGTCGCTCAATAAACTCATCTAGAACCATGTCACTTTTGAAATCCAGTTATTCACCTTTATTCTGAGATCATGGCTTCTCCTCTTATAATCAATTTCAAAATGAGGAAGTGGTCTTCGTCATTTACTTCCTCCTCTAGATATAAAGAGTAGTCATTGTGATTATGGATGACCTTATCAAATTTTCTCCTCTCATAGGTGACAAAACTATTTCAATTGGTGGATTGTTGTTTGCATGACCTCTATAGTAAGCTCCTAGACGACCTTTTGCGGATTTCTCTTAGGAAGTATGGCATTATTTTCCCCCGATTAGGTTTCAAAGGATGTAAGATTACAAATCAAAAGGGTTGGCCAAGTGTTTAAGTTTTTGGAGTAGGTGACAGGATGAAAGTTTTTACGATGGAAAATTACATTTTGAAATTTTTTAGAGTTGGAGCTGAGAAATCCAGTAGGAATGATTTGAGGATTTTTTTTTTGTGTGTGGGGATCATAGGTTAGGTTATTTAGAATTTTGGTATGGGATAAAGAAGACAAAATCATAAGGATCTAGGGTTTGTCGGGTCTGATACCAAATGACACTGATCTAGGGCTCCTGTAAGGTATTATGGAAGCGGGCCTGGCGGGGACTAGGTAGATGAAAATAGTTAGGGGATCAAAATTTTGGGCAATCGGTGATATTTGAAGGGGGTAGACGATGCTCGGTGGTTGCCTCAACTAAAAACAACAAGCAAAACCACAAGAATGTTGAAGTGGGGTTTCGGCTGAAATTACAACGTGGATAATGGCAGGACAGCGAACTGGAACTGATAAAATCATTTTTCCTACTGCAAACAACAATTAGCTGCTAGTTGGATGTCAAATGAGGCTTCCGAATATCCATGAGAGATCACCTCCTCCATCCTATCTAGTTACAGATACATCACTTGAAAAAAAATCTAAGACATAACGCTCCAATAGAGATAAACAAAAGAAAGCACCTTCAAATAGCATAAATCAAATCAAAAGTTTTCTCAAAACAGAAAAAAGCTATTAAAAGTCAAATGTAAAAATCAAATCTAATACCAAAACTTACTTTCAGGCTCCTTACTTTGAGTTTCCTGAATATTTTCCTCAATATAGTCTTCTCTTATTTCCACTAAACCTTCCTGCACATAGAAAAAAATAATAATAATTCTAATTAATCAAATTTAACATAAATTCATGTTGATAAATAACAAGTAAACTTTCTACAATAACATAAGACATCTTAGCCGTCATACATATATGGATGAAAAAAAAAAGTAAAAAGGGACATTGAGGTCAATTTTGAAGATCTCATCTAAAATAGAATGCATCAAAAAATAAAAGATAATGTTCAAGAATATCGCATTTTCATCAGTTCAACAACTTAGATTAAAAATAGAACAAGAAATGCATATACCAAAGAGATGTTGGATTCAATACTTATTGAAGACAAAGCAATGTAAAATAAATTTAAGTAAATGGGTCGTGTAAAAAAAATGCAAAAGATGCACATTAAGACAAGTAGATAGAAAATGTAACAGAATAAGAAAAGGAACAAAAACAAGAATTCCGCTAAAAGTAGTATTTAAAGATTAAGACATGCATGAATTAGAGTCAAAGCTTCATGTAGCAACTTTAAACAACGTAATTTTAGGTATTTCCAGCGGTGGGGAAATGAAACACAAGGCACATGCACACCGAAGCAAACAAGAAATAAAATGGTAAATACAGAGGAACCGAGCCTTGTGATTCATTCATGTAAATGCCTGAAAATAAAACCAACATTCCACAAGTAAATGCCCAAAAGTAAAACCCACAGTCCACAGAGGAATCGAGCCAATGAACGAACAAAATTACGTACAGCAACTTCAGCAGCTGTTGAATCAAAAAACTTTGCCTCGACCTCAAGATCCTTAATTATTCTATTCAACGACTCAAGTTGCGCCTCCAGAGACCTTCCCCTCCGCTGAAGAATCTCCATCGTCTGCTTCGCTGTCCTCTCCGCATGGTAACCCTCGCCCAATAATACCTAAACAAATGAGAAATCCCCAAATGCATAGCATAACAACAAGCATTATTGGGTAATCACCAATTTCTGACATGATCATACCAAGAACTCGTTGGTGTGGATCAAACGACCAGGAAAGAAGGCAGCGCCACCGAAAGGCACCTGGGCGTGAATCAAACAACAAAAAAGATGTGAGAGTGGAAAAGGAAGAGAATCGGAGAGCAAGTAGTGAATGTGAGAAGTAATATGCCATGATGTGGTGGGATAGCTCTTCGGGGAGCTTCTGGACATGTTGGATGAGCACCGAGTTGTTGAAGCCGCGGAGGCGACAGAGCTCTCTCTGGCGGTCGGCTATCGCGTCCTCTACCCGCCGCGCCGCCTTCTCCGCTGCATCAGAAGTGAAGAGAGAGTTCAAATGGATCACAGTTCCCTTCTCACCTTCCGCCATAACACCGCACGGCGAACTCGGCTGTCGAGAACCGGAAACTCGTCTCCTGCTAAAATAAAATGGACATTTTCTGATCGCCTAAATTATGAAAAGCCGTCTCACGCATAGTTTTATTTGGGGATAAATAGCACGGAGAAAAATTTAAAAAATAAATAAATTAAAGACCCCACCAAGATAGTTTATATAAAATATTATCATAATTAATTTATTAATATATTTATATTTTATTATACTTAATTCACATATTATTTTTAAACAGTTTTATCAAATAATTATTATTATTAATTACATTCAACGTATTACTTTTTTTAGTTTATGATGCCTTAATTATTAGCCTATTATTTTTTTTGTTATATCTATGTCATTATAATATTATAACTAAGTAGAATGTGTAATATACTAGTTAATAAATCCTGTGAGCAAAATATATATGTGAAAAATAAATTTACTAAGAATAAACCAAATTCATAATATTTATTGTACATTAAAATATGTTCATAACATCGTGTACAAAAGCACTACATATTATACACTGGGATGGAATAGTGTAATCCATGTGTACATTGAAACGGTAGTTGATATCGCAACTGATATTCTTAAAATTCTATGTCAACATCCTTATCTTTGGTTGCATCGTTCATAACCTAATGAGGAATGTAGTAGTCTTATTCATTCATAAAAATTTGTGGTGTATAAATCAGGCATGTATTAAAATTTAGGTCGATACAAACATGAGCATGATCTGAAAATTTAAATCTAAATCTCCGCTAATAGAATTTATCCAGTAAAAGTCATATGATGCTCCCTCATATATCGATGGTCCTTCATAGTATGAGGGTCGCGCAAATATTGATTAGTCATCATATGTAGATGATTCTAGATACGATTGATTGTGCAACTCATTTAAGGGAGATCAACATGTTCTGGCAATTGAAGTTCTCCCTGAAGCATCAAGTGTTGGTCATCTCGAAGTAGTAAAAGTTGGTCGTCATTGAGCAATGAAAGAAGATGGGAGTAATGCAACCTTACATCTATTTTATGAGACATCCCCGCCTCAAAATCATGTCCATTTGGTCGATCGAATGCACTATAATCACTATGAATTCATTGCTTCACTCTACGTCATAGCAGACAATGACCTGAGAATGATAATAGTTGGGTGATGACATTCCACCATCTAGAACAATCTTGTGATGCTGATTTAACACAGTGACAACCTGAAGATGATGATCTAACGATATTGAAGATACACCCAACCAATGGGGTTTATTTGTGATCCACATAACAAAAACTATAAGATGATGATTCATCAAAAATGATAGTGTACTACAATAATGATGATTGTCGATCATCAGTAATTTGACATAACGATAGTCAAAAGATGATCTGATGATGATGGTAGTGGTTGGTGATGGAGGCAATGGCCCTCCATCACCCAACATACTAGATTTGAAATTTAGTTAATTTATAATTTTAAGCATTAAAATTAATGTAGGCTCTAATCATATGACTGTATTAAACTGAGACTATTTTTAGTTGAGAATCTATGTGTGATCCACCAGGGATATTCAATCGATGTGAGGTCATTTATATAAATAATATACAAAGAATATTCAACTCAATTGAGGTTACACATATGAATAATTTATCAAGGATGTTCGGCCAAATTTATATCATTTATATGAATAAACCATCAAGGATGTTCAACCAGTTTGAGACCATGTAGTTGAATAACCCACCAAGGATGTTTGACCAATTTGAGGTCATTTATATGAATAATCTATCAAAGCTATTTGATATACCCGAGGTTGTTAGTCAAAACATCTACTTGCAATTATAACATATTTTGGAAGAGTTCGTAGGAAATCCATTAAAAATTTTAGAGTCGTCTCAGGTTATTTTGTCAGAGTTGCTCGTTGACATTAAAATATTATGGATAAAGTCAAATGAAATCCAGTAAGGATGTTAAACCCATTCTAGGTTATTTTGTCAAATGTGTTCAAAGGTGTTAACCTATTATGAATAAAATTGAAATGAAATTTATAAAGAATGTTTAACCTATCATAAACTATTAATCAAAGCTTTTTCTTAATAACATGATGTGGGGGCGTTGAGAGAGCACTTTTGTGCCAGACATCCATGCTCAGTGGTTGATCTTATTGTTATGTTTAAATATTGACATGAACTTCTACTTGAGGTTCTAATGAAAACTAGCCACTTAGCCTAGAGTCGATTCTCATAGACTTTATAAAATGCAAAAGGATTACCCACCATAACATTGCATAAGACATTGATGTAAATGACCTTTCGAGACTGTAATGAAAGTTGACATCAAGTATTGGAGTATACAACAAAATTAATCTTTCAGTGTTTCTCCCTTTCTTTGACGAATCCTAAAAAGAGAACTATAATCATTGATAATCCTTCGATTTGTGATGATTACTCTATAAATAGTTTAATAGGCTCAAAAAAGATATGAATTATTCCCTATAGGAGTAAATAAAACCAAGCAAATGCTTGGATCTTAACAATAAAAAAAGGAACTTGTCAAAAGAGTGTGCAAAAGATCATTGTATAATGTTTTCAATATAATCGTGTTCATAAATTTTCATCATATTAATCAATGCTTAGAAGCTTAACCCTGTTAAAATAGGGTGTTCAAGGGTGGTCTCCGTCAACAAAGAGGACTTGAGAATTAAGTCGAGCAGAGAAATGATTTTCATTCATTCTTTCTTGTATTAGTCATCATAACTCATCACATATTACAAAAGTTTGAGTTAAGTTCTTCACATGTACTGGAGGTTTGCTACCATGCTTGGCACATGAGATGGTTGTGTAGAGCTAGCAAAGTCAAGGCATTCAGCTTTATGATGAGAAACTTCAGTTTGTTGAGGGAGTGCTAACTATGTACCTCTAATCAATTGATTTTGAGGTAGTTGTGTCACTCTAGTATTCACAACCGTTGGTTATTGAGCATCACAGAAAAGTCGGGCGATATCATTTAGAGACTCTATTTTTTTTCATAGAAGACCTTAAAGAGGTGTGAATGAGGGCAGTTTGTCAGTAAGGTGATGCGTATTATTGAAAAACATAATTAAGGGTTGACTTCTTGACCTTCAAGATTATGTACTAAAATGACGGGAAAATGAGAAGCTTGCGTATTGCATTTGTTAGCAATTGAAAAAATTAAGTGATTTCATTCTTTGCAGAAGGTGTCAAACTATTATATGTCAGAAGATTTACAATGATAGAGTGATAATTTAAAGTCTCAATGTTGCACGAGTATACAACACACACACAAATAAGTGGAAAATAGCTAGAGTAGAAACTAAGATTTTTTATGTCAAAAATCCCTAAAAAGGAAAAAAACTATGACCCAATCAAACTAATTCACTATACGATTATAAGAACAAGAGTCCAATCTTTTCTTGAATTAGAGAAGATGTAATTATAATATTGATAACTATATATGTACAATAATAGTTTAGCTATAATAACTATAATTGAACTACAATAAATGTGATTCTTGGTCATAATGACAATATTTAGTCACAAAAGTCGTAGTAAGTTGTTATGATAGTGTTAATTTGCAGCATAGACTATACTCAAAAGCTACAACAGTAATTAAACACACAGACAATAATTGATATATACAAGAACGTCAATTAGATACATATGCCATAGATGCCACAATAGAAAACTGTAGTAGTAAATAACCGCATATGTCATAGTTGATAACTACCGAAATCGTAATTGACGAGAGAACTCATAGTGAAAAATTACAGTAGTAATTGACCACACAAACCATAATTAGTTAAATACATCGTAATTGGTGGCCACGATAATAATTAATCACGTAGAATGTAGCTGATATGTCATAATTAAAAACTGTGATTAACCGTTAACAAAATTTTCATAATTTGATTGTTGAACCTGCCGACCCGCTTGTTTGACCAAAAAATTAGAAACCCATTCTGGGTTAAGGAGAACCACTCGATTCTAATTCCAGCCGTCCAAGGGCTGCGATTTAATCTGGAATTCAATCTCTGTACATCCCAATTTTGATAACAGTGGAACGTATACCTACAAAGCCAAATCTTCCCTCATTGCTTCCCCACGATCCCATTTCTTTCAGTCGCTACTGTCACTCTTCGATCACCACTCTATCGCTCATTGTTGGTCGTCCATTAGCCAGCAGAATTCCAGCGTTCGCCGGCCGATCACATCGACGCTTCCGGCGTTGAAGCCCACCCCGCGACAGATGCCTCCTTCTCCTCCTTCCGGTCCGCTCCTAAAAGAGAACATCGAGGAAGGTAAGACTCGTCTTTCTCCCCCTATTTGCGCATTTTAGCTTCTGAATGAGCCTAGCAAATCCTCTAAACCCAGTATTCTAATTAGAATTGATTTTTGCATCAATGTTAACCCAAGTTTTATTATCCTTATGAATTAGTGTTAACCCAGATTTTGAAATGCTTGGATTAAATTTTTTTTTCAGTATTCCCTGCAGTGGATTTGCCTACTTTTATTGATTACAGTATATCGGATAATTTTTGCATTAAGGCTTAAAATTAACTTAATTTATTTGGGAAAATAGAGAAGAAAAGATGTTCAGTTTCAATATAAGCAATATAAAAAAAAAAAAAAAAAAAAAAATCCCAACATAATTGTCCTCTCTAAACCCAATAGACAAATATAAACTTATGAGGGCATTCGCTGATTTAGACACATACCAGGATACCACGCAAATCTCATGTGTCTATCCATCTGACGCCTAAACATTCTTATTTAAAACCGGCTACCAAATAGCCCGAGCGTGAGATGTTTGTTTGGGACTAGTGAGAATGTTGAAATGAGAGATTCATTTATGATAGGTGTGGAGAATGTCTTTTCAGATTATTTAAGTATTATTTTGGATGCATGTTTTTATTCGAAATTACATTGTTTTGCTTATGTTATATAACTTATATTATAAAAAAAAAATGAAGGTGACTTCATTAAGCTCAAATTATTTGTCTTTCTGATGGCATAGCTCTTTTATGGAGGGTAGTCTAATTGCTTTTCAACTTATTCATAAGCCAAGATTTCTACCATCTTCCAGCTTAATTAATCTTCCTTTTGGCTTGGTTATCCAAGCAAACATTTTAGAAAGAAGGTCCTCAAGTTTATCATTTGTGTAATCTATCCATAAATACGAATTTATAATAACTATATATTCTCTTTAAAAGATTTATTCAAAAATTCCGGCAATTATAGTTAGATTTGTCATCTTCAAAACTAAATTATGGATCGATGATAATAATGAAAGAGAAATAAACTTGAAGGGAAAAAGGTTTTTTAATCTCACATCAAGTCCTTGGAGCGAACTTTATTTATTTCCCAGTAGGTCTGAAGTTGATATGCCACAAGTTTTACTTTCTATTGATGATGTAAGGTTCTTACTCCTTACCATGCAAAACTAAGGTTTCGTTTGGGGCAGCTTTTTAGTTGCGGCGCGGCGGGAAAACATCGGGAGAAGCTGGTATTTGGAAAAATACTGTGGTGGCTTTTCAGCTTATTTGAGTAAACCGTGGCTGCATTTTGTTCGCGTGATAACACCTATGTTGCCTTCTACCCTCTGCCCCAGCTTCTCCTCCTCTCCTATCTATTGCGCTTCGACCCCTTGCTTGGGTCTACCCTAGCTCTTCCTCTCCCCCCAATTGTGTTTTGCGGGTTCTGGCGGTATTCCTCTTCTCATACCTTCCTACCTTTTCTCCGAATACTTGATTTCGGTGGCATTCTCCTAATGGTAATCTCTAACCTACACTATTGGTGTTGAAATTACCTTATGGTTTGAAGATTTGCCATTTGTGGCTTTCTCCTTGCGATTTGGTTTTTTGTTGTTTTTCATTTTTTTGTTGTGGACAGTGCGACTTTCGTGTGATTTTTTGGCTTCTGCTCGGAAGAATTTTTTTTTGGATAATTACAACAATTGTGCACTGTTTACAAATCAATTCCATACATAATTTCATTTTCTCTTTCATGATAATTAGGGTGGCTTGCTTAGTTGGGCTCTCCCCACTATTTCATTTTTGAGATAAACATATAGAACACAAGAAGCTTTGCTATTTACAAATCAATTCCCATAGATGATTTTTTGAACTATGAATTAGATGCATTTATGCGTGCCATGATCGTCAGACGGGAATTTGATAAAAATGTAAAATATTGGTTGGGTTTTTATCATGACTTTTGATATTTGAGTGAGAATTTGAAAGATGGATGAAAGAGGGTGCCTGATTTGTAATACAATGTTTTGGGTGTTTTGTATGTAATCGTCCCTTCATTTTGTTGGTTCAATTGGAACAACCTTGCTGCTCTACTTGTTGGTTGGTCTTTTGGGTGGTTTGCCCTCTTTGATGGAGAAAGGATATGCTGTGTTGGTGATGTTTGTAGTAGTGTTTTGGGTGATATTTTTTTTGTATCACAGTGTTGCGTACTGTTGGTGGTGATGTTGCGCCATGGTGGTGCGTGTTGATGCTGAGAGTGGTGTTGTTGGTGGTGTGTGTTGATGCTGGGGTGGTGTTGTTAGTGGTGATGTTAGTGTTCGTGGTAATACAGGTGGTGCTCTTGGTGGTGTGCGTAGATGCTGAGGTGGTTTTTCAGTGACCTGGTAGTGGTGCTGTTGGTGGTCTGTGTTGATGCTGGGGGTGGTGCTGTTAGTGGTGATGTTGGTTTTCGTGGTTTGTTGTGATGTTTCTTTTCAGTTGGTTTTTTGAGGTATGGTATTTTAAATGACACTTTATTTTTCCTCTACTATACATTTATATTGCTTGGTTCTTTTCCATGCTAGTATCGTCACGGTAAAAGTCAAAGAAACTTGTTTGATTGTCATATGGGATAATGATGTCAAAATAATATTTTGTGATCTCTGTCTTAAAGAGGCTGAGTTAGGAAATAAACCAATAGCCTATTTTAATAAAGAGGACTGACAAAATATAACAAAAAAGTTTAGGGATCGCATAAAAGAGGAATATGATATGATGCAATTGAAAAATAAATGAGACAAGTTAAAGAAGAACTGAAATATATAAAAAGAGTTGAAACGTGGATCCACAGATTTGGGTTGGGTCTCGATAAAACGAATCATTGATGCTTCAGAAGAATGACGAGTCGAGAGATTAGAGATGAGAATTTAAGAAACGTGAAGTCCCTTACCAATTATTTATTTATTCACTTACATTAACATATGAATAATTCATTAATTTTTATGTCGTTTCAAATACTAAAAGTTTAAGTACAATGGTATCCCTGAGCTTAAAGAAAAGTTGAATCGTATGTTTGATGAAGTCGTTTTCATAGACGATCATGTATGGACCCCTAGCAAGAGGGTTTGCTGGCATAATTGGGTATGTGGATGCTGAACTAACTTCTTGTTCCAATGAAGCCTTCATCTCTAACCTCAATGAAGTTGAATTTACTAGTTAATCTAAGCGTCCTAGGATTGAGAAAAAGAAAAAAGAAGGTGGTGTTTTTCATTAGAAGCCAAATTTCATAGTCAATTGCTTCATGCACCAATGTCCCTGACACGTCACATGCAACTTCTATTCAACAAGTAATGCGAATTCAAGAAGAACCTTCAGAAATTTATGAGGACAGGGCGTTGTATTTGTTCTCCATTAAGTTGCTTGAAGACCCGACTTGGAGAGAGTTTTTCATGACTATGTCTCCTGACCGTAGGGCCAATTATTTACGTTATTTTCATGACAACAAAAACTCTTGAATTCCATTTTTTTAGTTGGACAATTAATATTTGTTTTTCATTGGGATAATATCTATGCTACTTTGGATATGCTCTTGTTTTCTATTTTTGGCAATATTATTTTCTTTACTTTTGAGAAAAGTTAGATCGTACAATTTTTAATTTGCTTGTCAGAGTTTATTTATGATTGTTATTTGTTTAAAACATATTCTGATAGTAACTAATTCAATGATTCTTATATGTGTTAGTTGCATAGATAATGAATGACATGGACAGAGAAGGACACAAAAAAAAAAAATTGCAGCTGCGTTGTGTTTGATGTATGAGTACTACTACTCATATATTGCTCGCTTTCATTGCATGACATCTGCATACATTAACTATAAGTGGGCTGGGGAGTTGCTAGTAGGACACATAATACAATTTAGCAATATATTTCGTATGGCACAACCCGTATTCATCGATCTATTGGAGGAACTGCTTAGGAATTATGGACTTCACGGTTCAACTAAGATGACTTTCAGAGAGGTTTTAACAATAACTTTTTACATTTTATCCCAAAATGAATCTATAAGAGGATAAATGAAGCAATTTCAACACTCATATAAAACAATCAATATATATTTTTTTAATTGGGCGAAATGCTCTGGTCAGTTTCTCATCAGAAATTATTAAACCCGATGACACAACATTCAAAAGGATCCCCATAGAGATTTCACAAGACCCGCGACACATGCCATATTTTAAGGTAATTCTATTTATTCATTTTTCCATAATTCAAATGTACACTGTAATTTAGATACCCTTGTTAAATGCTTTAGAATTGTATTGGAGCGATCGTCATAATACACGTGGATGCACGTGTTTGGATAATGAAAAGATCACATTTATTGGGCGATGCAGATCACCAACACAAAATGTCATGACTCTATGTGACTTTAACATGTGTTTTACATTTGTTATGATTGATTGCGAAAGTAGTGCATAAGACAGTCACATATTCAAATTTGCCACAAGAACTTAGAAATACAACTTTTCACAGCCACTCTCAGGTTTGCTTGAATTTCAACTAATGACAAAGTGTTTCATTGTAATATTAATTATTTTATTTATATAATTAAATATTATTTGGTCGATGCTAGATGCTCCTTACAAAGAGGGGTTTTAAAACCACTTTTGGATACTAAATACCACATACCTGTTTTTGAAAGTTCTATCAATGTCGCTCAGGATAGGAAATAGATGTTTAACTAGAGACATTCATCCTTACACAGTGTCATTGAAAGAATATTTGGAGTTCGAAAGATAGAATAGGTCATATTACAAGATATGCCTAACTATTCGTTTCCTAAACAAGTGCAGATTGTGGTCGCCACAATGACTCTCCACAACTATATTCGGCGACATTTTTCACGCAACGATATTGACTTCAAAAGGGTTGATGAAAATCATTTACATGTCATTGTTGAAGTATATGAATATTCCCTAGGACAATCTTTATCACAAGCTTAAAGTGTTTTGCCTGAAACTTGCACCCATGATGGGGAAGTTGCAGGGGAGAAGATAGAGTTGAGAGAACGGATTATAAATATCAAATTGACGGTTGAATGAAATAATTGTATGTTTTTTGTTGTTACTTTATTTGTAATGTATTGTGAAAACATTTATTGTTTATTGTATTGATGGTTTATGTAATGATGTATATTTTTGAATCTCAATGTTATTTTTAGTTTTTTTGCATGTTTCTTCCCCATTTGGATGGCCGTTGAGACAACCGTGGGTGTAAATGTAATGTAAATTTTTATTGCATATTTTATTTTTTATTTTGGAGGTCTATGATGAAATATTCAACCTCATGGGTTCTTCTGGATGACCTTTATGTTGCTATTGTTTCTTGACGTGTGAAATCTCAATGAAGACCACTAAGTTCGTCTCCTTTTTCAGTCTTTCTGAGGTTCTTCTGGATGACCTTTTTTTGGTGATATGCATATGTGACACATACGACCTCATGGGTTCTTCTGGATGACCTTTATGTTGCTATTGTTTCTTGACGTGTGAAATCTCAATGAAGACCACTAAGTTCGTCTCCTTTTTCAGTCTGTCTGAGGTTTTTCTGGATGACCTTTTTTGGTGATATGCATATGTGACACATACGGGCTCTGTATTATATGGTTTAAAGACAACAAAAACCCCTTTATTATAAGGCCTACTGTCTTCTTGGTGATAAATTCATTAATTTATACTGTATTCTCTGAGAAGTCACAGTTTCATAAAACTTAAATTGAGTGTTTCTTCTATGTTTTTTATCACTAATGCCGCTTCTTAGAGTTTATTCTGTGGTTTAAACTTTCAGAAAAGATGAGCACGAGGACTTCAAGTACCTCTTGAACATTATACTATTACTGTGAATTATAATGTTTTCTGTTTACTTCGCGACAACCACATAGCTATGAGAGACATTTTTATAGGTGTTCAAGGAGAAAAACAGTAAACCGTGACTTCTTTAGTTGGGCAAATCGGTTCAGGATTCCACCGCCAATAGTGATTAGACATGGATAGTTTCGTTGGAGGATGGATGATCCCGTGACTTAACCAATCACATTTTAAAAAAATATTATCATATTATAATTGCTATTTTAATAGTCATTTTTTGAATTTTGATTGTTGTGTTACTATCTGTTTTGTGAGATGTCTAAAAAATGGTCTTAATTGGTAGAAACCCACTTCACTTGGTCTATTTTAATAGTCATTTTTTGAATTTTGATTGTTGTGTTACTATCTGTTTTGTGAGATGTCTATTTTTATTTTGTAACATTCAAATTGAATATTTGCTTTCATGTATGAAATATGTTAGCGGGATTGATTATGTTCTAAACAAGACTATACTACAAGGGCATAAAAGTCTTTTGTTCAGAAACAACTTCAACACAGTTGCGACACAACTATAAAAAACAATTAAACAACCAACTTCTATGCATCAACTTTTGACACAACTGCCATGCAACAACTTTTTAATAAGTTGTAGTTGCCCCAAACAGACCCTAATATAGTAGTCTAATTATGAAGAGGTGGCATCTTATTTCTATGAGTCCATGTGGCTAGCATAAAATTTCTTCTCATTTTATTAATGTCACCTTCGTTTTTGTATATAAATAGGTTAGAGATTTGGAGAATATAGAATACAAATGTTGTTCTAGACACTTTTTCATTTATATATATAACGATTAATTATTTGATTCATTTCTTTGAACATATATAGAAGGAATCCATCTAAAAGTCAACCTATCATTACTTCTCATTTTGTTCGTGAGCAAATGGATCCAACACGGAATGCTTTCATTGAATGCAAAGGTTTAGATGGAAAGAAGCAATTCAGGTCCTTACATTGTGAAATTATGTATAAATATGGCGGCATGAATAAAATGAAGCAACATTTAGGCAGGGTTAGGTAGGGCTAAAGACAATATAATTTCATGCAAGAAAGTTTTCACATGATTTTCATCACCAAATGCAAGAACATTTGAAGAGCATATCTTTATATAAATTGATTTGACAATTGTAATGTGGTTTTTTGACAGTTGTATTCCTTTCAATGTTTTGAATTCAATTTATGCTCAGAAAACAATTGATGAAATACCTGTAGTTGGTTCTGTATATCAGCTACCTTCTTATCACATAATGAGAGCTAATTTGTGAATGGATTGCAAAGAAGATGGTAAGATTCTTGTTGAGTCTTACAGATGTAGTTAGAATTAAATATGATACACTTTGATGGCTGATAGTTGATAGATACTAGAAGTAGAACATTAATAAATTTCTTAATTTACTATCCACTTGAAGTAATTTTTTTGAGGTATGTTTATGCTTTTGACATCAAGAGAGATGCTATTACTTTGTGCTCTGTATTTGTTAAAGTCTTTGAGTGGATTGGTCAAAAGAATGTTATTTAACTAGCGACTGACAATACAACAAATTACAAAAAAACAGGTTGCATGAGAAACATGGTAATATTTACTAGTCATATTGTGCTATACATTGTTTGAATTAAATTTTGAAGGATATCTGTAACATGCTTTATGTGATAAAGCTTTCCAAAAGTGCATAGAGGATTACAATATTTAGTTACAATTACATTTTGGTACTATCTTGATTAGGAAAAAGACAAGAGGGAGCTATTCTTTCTGCTACTTTTTTTTATTATATTAAAGAGTGTGCGTGAATACAAGCATGATTTATAGGCTTTTGCCACCAGTAAGTATATAGTGAGTAGAAATTAATAAGAAACACTAAAGGTAAAAAAACAGTTTGTATCATTTTAGATAATAAATTCTGGAATGATTGTTTGATTATGTCAAAATTAGCAGGACCACTAATAAGTTTGCTAAGAGTTGTTGATTCAAATGAGCCATCCCTTGGATATGTTTATGATAACATGTACACGACAAAATAATTAAAGACACGTTCAAAAATATAAAGAGTGCTGGATATTTCTTATTTCAGTTTCTTTTGTTATTCCTCTCTTTGTTCTTTTTCTTTTTCTTTATTATTTTGATTTAGGCTATGTCGTATTTGGGAGCTTTATGTATTTTGTGTTTTGCCTGTTTTGAACTTCAGTTTTGCTGATTTTATGAATTTGAGAGTTTTTTTTTTTTCTGATTTCTGCTCTTTAGAGTGTTGTATTCTTTTTCTTTTACTTGGAACAAACGGTGAAATCTCTTCGCTGCCTGTATCTTGCAGTTTCACTGCCCAACTTTCTGATTTCAGCCAGGACAGCCACCGTGGACATCCAACCTGCTGTCCAACAGCAGATTTATCCCCGCAATCTCTTCCAAACACCACAAACCACACATATTAACCTTCCCTCACTATTTCACAACGATCACCCTGAGAAATCCACTTCCCAAATACCTTCTAGGAGCCCTAAAACTATATTATTAGGTGGTTAATACTTACTATAAGCGACCTCTAATTAATCTGTGGTAAACTGAATCCTGTATTATTTTTGCATTTATGGTTCAATGGAGAAAAATGATTTATGTAGCTGACCCCACTTAGTGGGATAAAGTCTTATTGTTGTTGTATACTGCAACTATTTTTTCATAGATTTTCACAGAACTAATGTTGTTAATTCAATATATCTGATGCTTAAATTAATTTTCCTGTTCATGCTAGCAGACTTGGACATGGAAGAAAGCACCCTAAATGCCCTTTCATCCGGGGAAGCTGTGCTGCTGGGAGCTTTGGCACCCGGTGTTAATGTGAGTGTTTATAATAGCTTCTGATTAATTTAACTTGGTAAAACTGTGTTCTTATTAATCTTTGCCGAAATCTTTTATTGTCTTATCGTGTTAATGATGTTATAATCCTGTGGTAAGGGAATTTGATGGTTATTTAAATCATATTATCCAGGGTCCAACATGGGCTGTTCTGAAGATTACTTTTTTGATGCTTGCCATTTGTCTTATCGCCATGCTTTCTTTAGCGTTCATATCAAGTGATTTCATTATAGCGGGCCACGTCATCTTGCTTGTTATCATAGGGTTTGTGCTTTTCGTGCTCCTAAATGGGTAATTCACTCCACTCCAGTTTCTGTTTTTTTATTTGTATTTAACATTTGTTTAAAGTGTGTATATATCTTCTTTTGTCTTTCTTTATGCTATTTGGTGTATTTTATTATTTGGATGATGCATTCTATTTATTTATGTAACGTTTTTGGGTGTGTTTGGGACAGCTTGTGCTTTTAAGGATAAACACCTTATCCTGAAACGCGGCCCGCGGGTTGACCGCAGGGTTCAACCTGCGACCTGCGTTTAGTTTAAAAATGTAACGCGTTTTCGGATAAGCAGACACAACGCGCGATCCAAACGGTACCGCGACGTGCGACGTGCGACGTTTTCAAAAACGTCCCCGCAAATGAGCCCTTTGATTGATATTTGAAAGCTATCTACATATGTCTTGGTGTGAAACTATATTTGTCCTACATATCAGGGCAAAGTAGATTGCACATTCAAAGTTGTTTATATTTTGTTGATTGATCATTTCAATAGATCTAATTCAAAAGCCTTACATGGATTACCAAAAGCACATTTTTGATCGAATTTGAATAGGAAATGTTGAGTATGATTGATGATGGTGATGATGGTATTATGACGAGCATTGTCATCATCATTTTCATTAACATTATTTTGATTTTTTGAGGTTAGAATTAATTATGAAACGCCTTCCATTCATTCTGGTTGATTGCTATATGAGGTTTTAATTCTAGTTTACCAAAGTTTTTTTCTTCAATTTTTTTGTAGTGTGTGGTCTAATCCACTTTTCCTTACTATTTGATCTCATTGGCTACTTGCTTTATGAGTGCATCTTCAAACCTTTTTTTGGTTATACTTTGACAGCTATTTTTTTTAAACCATCATATCTATAATATCTCAACTATAATCATTTTTGTTGCTTTATTATTTTGAGAAGAAAGAATTTGGTGTATAGCCCTTCTTTATATTCATTATATTTTAGCTTCAACTTGTTACATATGCTAGAAAATGGTAGATGAACCAAAACTTTAATAAAGATATCCCCTGCTGATTTTGAATTGGAGATGGGATTAATAATTTCCTTGGAAAGCACAACTTCCCATATGAAGCAATTATCAAGTTCTATATAATTTAATTAATTATAGAAAGCAAAATTGTTAGTATAATACATACATCCAAACGTACAC